TCATAGCAACCTTCTACATCTAAGGATATTGTGCCTATAAAGTCAACCAGGAGTCATTCTCAAAGACCTCTAAGCAAAGGGCCATGAGTTCCCACAGTGAGCCCCAAATGAACCAAAATGTTCTCATCAGGCCCCAGTCATGAGCAGCTTCAGTCTCTTCGGTAACCTCATGCCATGCATCCCCATTTTTGAGTGCTAAGAAAATCAGTGAGCAAAAGGACATAGTCTCCAGTCGCTCCTCTTGTACACCCTTCCATACTCATTTCCAGTACAGACCTCATCTTTACCACCCCTTTGACCAGTGTTCACTCTAAGCTGTGAGGCAGCACAGCTTCGCAGGTGATTAATCAGCCCCACCCAGTCAGTCAGCTCCATGCAAGGAGCCCTGAGCCTCTGGCTGGGCAGGGCTGATTAATCCACCTGTGAAGCTGTGCTGCTTAGTGGGAACACTGCCTTTGACCCCCAGCTTCCTTGCTATGGCCAGCCATGGTACCTGACAAGGCTGTTCCCCACTCTGGCACTCTTTGCACAGAAGGCAGGGACCTGCAAGAGACTTCCTTGCCATTAAAGGCTTATCTTAAAACTTCCCAAAGTTACACATTCTCTAGCCTTGGATTTGTATTGCTGCCAACACCCAAATGCAAAACCCCATTGAGAACATAGGAAGGTGCAGTGGGAATGCCTTCTTGTGAGATACACTCAAGCTCTCCTGCTGGACAGATGAGAACTGTAATTTCTTTTAGTAGTTTGGCTTTGCAGTCTTAGGCAGTGCAAACAGAACCTCCCACCTTAGGACATAGGAATCAGATCATTGTCTTAAATGGGTGATTTTTATTATCAACAAAAACTGCATTTAACGCCAATGACCTAAAAAACCCAGGAGGGACTCTTATGAATTGTGTATGAATGAAATGTAAATACTGCAGTGATCCTGATCCTGTGTATTAGGAAGGAAAGGAGGTGAATCAACCACTTCCTGCAGAGAGAGACGTAAGAGGAACCAGTGCTCCATTCCCTTTTCTCCGCATTCATATACACAAAAAGAGCTGTCCAACTGTGACAGGGGAACTCTGGGCACAAATTCTCAACATCCAGGAAATGCTAGTGCTGCTGATGAGGGAATCTGTGGAGCAGCTAGAGCAGCTGCTAAACTTTCTACCTGGACTCTGATGCACCCCAATGACTCTTGCTACATTTCAAGGCATTGGTTTCTCTGACCTTTTGGAGCATCCCAAGAGAGGTAGGAGATTGCCTTTTTCTCCATACCCATGCCCCATTCAGTCTACCCCAAGGAAAGGCAGAGAGTAAAAAAGGTTAAATGGACTAATAGCAAGTGGTTGTCTTCCTATGGTTCTTCAAATGGATAGCCCTATTATAAGTAGCAGAGGAGTTCAGGGAAGAGTTTTGCCCCTTTCAGAGGTAATCTTTGAAGGAACTTAAAGTGCTGGTAGTTCATTCAGATGGGTAAAATGCTCAGGTCAGAAGAGTGAAAATAGGTGGGGAGTGTGAGAGACCCACTGCTACTACTGCACTGAGTCAGGTCCCCCTGGTGATCCCTGAAGCTGGATCCTTGTGGGGACAGAATGCTATGGGGGTGGGGGGAGGAGAGGAGAGCAAGACAATGGCAGGAAGAGGTGGGGCCTGAGGAACAGACAGCCCCCGGGGCCTGCAGACTACTGAGTGAGATTGTGCAATTGCTATGGTCACTGATGGCTTGTGGGCTGGGAGTTTGAGATGCTGCATTTTAAGCCTAAGCATCCTATCTTTCAACAGTAGTCAATGCCAGGTGCTTCAGAATGAACAGGGAAATTACTGAGTGATTCATTCCCAGGTTCTGGCAGTGAAAGTCACCTAGATGAATCCCTGACCATCTTGACTAATAGCCATTGGATATCCTCCATGAATGTATCTGGGTTTTTTATTAAAGCCAGTTATAATTTTGGCCTTCAGGACATCTGCTGGCAACAAGTTCCACATGATGACTGTGTGGTGTATGAAGTACTTTCTTTTGTTTGTTTTTAAGCTTGCTGCTTATTAATTTCATTAGGTGACCCCTTGCTCTTGTGTTGAATGAAGTGAAAATCACTTCTTTACTTTCTCCACCTCCTTCATGGATGCAAGAGTCCTTGTCTAACTATGTGCAGAGACACCAAGATTCATTAGTAGATCTCTGTGATTTTTTTTTCTACAAAACTCTTTTTGGCTGAAAAATGCAGATTTGGGTCAAGCAATATATTTTACAAAGTTGGCTCAAATTTGGATCACTTTGTCTGAATATTTTAAAAACAAAACATTGATTGGAAGCAACTTCTTGGTTCAGTTTTTACTGCAATTTTATTAATGAAATGTTGGAAAAACCCAAACAGCATGTTCAAACAAAACATTTAGTTGAACTCAAAATTACATTTTATTAAAATTTACTAGAAAATATTTGTTTCAGACTATTGTTTTAAATTTTAGTTCCCTCACCAAACCCCAAAATCAGTTATTCATAGGCTACGTCTAGACTGCATCCCTTTTCCATCAAAGGGATGCAAATTAGACATATCGCAATTGCTAATGAAGCGGGGATTTAAATCTCCCCCGCTTCATTAGCATAAAAATGGCTGCCGCTTTTTTTTGGCACGGAGCTTTGCCCGAAAAAAGCGCCAGTCTAGACGCGGATCTTTCGGAAAATAAAGCCTTTTCCGAAAGATCCCTTATCCCTTATTTTAAGAGGAATAAGGGATCTTTCAGAAAAGGCTTTATTTTCCGAAAGATCCGCGTTTAGACTGGCGCTTTTTTCCGGCAAAACTCCGTGCTGAAAAAAAGCGGCAGCCATTTTTATGCTAATGAAGCAGGGGAGATTTAAATCCCCGCTTCATTAGCAATTGCGATACGTCTAATTTGCATCCCTTTTACGGAAAAGGGATGCAATCTAGATGTAGCCATACAGTTTTAGTAATAAGGCCATAACTTTAAGATTTTCCATTTAAATTTATTTAAGCTCCCATCAGGTTGCAACTAAGGACACAAGAGAGACAATGTCATAGAAGATTAGAGTGAAAAGAAACCACAGGAGGTCATCTAGTCCAATGCCCTGCTCAAAACAGGACCAACCCCAACTAAACCAATCCAGCTGGGGCTTTGTCAAGTCTCACCTTAAAAACGTCTGAAGATGGAGATTCTACCACCTTGCTAGGCAACCCATTCCAGTGATTCACTAGCCTTCTAGTGAACTAGTTTTTCCTAATATCCAGCCTACATCTCCCCCACTGCAATTAGAGACCATTGCTTCTTGTTCTGTCATCTGTCACCACTGAGAATAGCCTGGCTCCATCCTCTTTGGAACCCCACTTCAGGTACTTGCAGGCTGCTATCAAATCCCCCCATCACTCTTCTGTTCTGTAAACTAAATAAGCCCAGTTCCCTCAGCCTCTGCTCATAAATCATGTTTCCCTGCCTTCTCGTAATTTTCATTGCCCTCGGCTGGATACTCTTCAATTTCTCCAAACCCTTTCTGTGACGAGGGACCCAAAACTGGACACAGTACTTCAGAGGTGGCCTCACCAATGCAGAATGAAGGGTAATAATCACTTCCCTCGATCTGATCTGGTGGCTCAGTATGACACCAAATACAGCTTTTGGTCATCCCTGCTGCGCAGGAGCGGAGCTGGAGCTGGGCCCCAGTGTAGCTGCCCCTATTGGTGCCCTGGCCCCAGCTTCAGACTTTCCTCATGGTTGGAGATGAGGCCAGGACAAGCTGGTTGGTGGCTGCCCAGCTGCTTCCCCGACTGGCCACAGGAAGGGCTGGTGGCGATCCGTCCCAGTGCTCCCCCGCTGCTGCAATCCTGGCCCAGCTGCTCATCTAGACATCACTGCCTGGTTGCAGCCCAGTCCCAGCCAGGTAAGGTAATCCTGTCCCAAGCCCCGCCCCCCACATATTCTATTTCCCACCTGCAGTGCCCTGCCCTGCTTCCTGCACCTCCTCCACACCCCAACCTTGTGCCCTTGATCCCATCATACAGCTGAACTCCCTGTCCTGAGACCCTCATACACTCCAACGCTGACTCCTGCAGTCCCACATCCTCAGCCCTATGCCATAAGATTGACAGAAGATAGCCTGAATGCCTTTATGAAGCTGAATTTGATCACTTATGATGTAAACTTCAAAGAAATGTGCAAAAGCTGCAGTAGTCCCATTAAATAAAGTCTGTGAGTACAATGCTTCATTTATGCTATTATGAATCATGTCAATTAATAATGTTAAGTTGTAGATTTTCAGTCATGCAAATAGGCATTCTTATATGGCTCTTTGTTGACCACTTGTTCTGAATTTTGGTGTAGTTTGGCTCTTCAGTTTGACACAGTTGCCCTCCCCTGGGTATGAGGATGACGGGCTCCTTGGGGCAAGTGGAATCACCGGGTGGGGTGGATGTATAGGAGTGGTTCCCTGAGGGTGGGGTATGGCAGTGGTGACTAGTGCCTGTGAGGAGAGGAGATGCAAGTACATCCACCCAGAATGGCATGGAGGGTGCATGTGGGGGACACCTCATTGAGCAATTACAGTGTTGGTGGAGGCTTAGGAAAGCAGTGCGCCTCTGCGGTGCTACCCGGAGTCACCTGTATCAGTGGGGTGGGGCGGTAGCTGGGCTAGGAGGTATATGGGAGCAGGGCCCCAGGAATGCGGGTATACAGGGACCAGGCTCCCTGGGGAAATGGAGGGAGGGGGCTGGGATCGCTGGGGGACGCAGTTTTATAAAGACCGGGCCAGGGCGCTCTGGGATCAGGCTCCTGGGAAGCGGAGGGGGCGGGGCTCGGCTCTGTATCAGTGGGGTGGGGCGGTAGCTGGGCTAGGAGGTATATGGGAGCAGGGCCCCAGGAATGCGGGTATACAGGGACCAGGCTCCCTGGGGAAATGGAGGGAGGGGGCTGGGATCGCTGGGGGACGCAGTTTTATAAAGACCGGGCCAGGGCGCTCTGGGATCAGGCTCCTGGGAAGCGGAGGGGGCGGGGCTCGGCTCGGCTCCCGGGGGCGGAGTCGAGTCACCTCGCTCTTGGCGCTGCCCCACGCAGGCCGGGCCTGAGGCCGACGCGGTGCCTGGTCGCAGGAAGGAGCCCGAGCGCCGCAGCGGGGAAGGGAGGAAAGGGGAGCGGC